TATTTTTTAATGCTGTACGTAGGGAGTTTACGAAATTTCGATTTTTAAAAAAATGGCGATCATTTTAACAAAAAGGTTTACCCTAAAAAATTGACCTTTTTGTTAAAATGACCATTTTCTTAAAAATCGAAATTTCGTAAAATCCCTACGTACAGCATTAAAAAATATTGTTGTTAATAGGAACATTCTTTGGTTTTTTTTCTAAGAGCCACGTACAGAGCGGAATTTGACACGCCGTCTAACGGTGTTCCTCCAAAGGAATGTAGTATTTTGGCGCCACCTACAAGAGATTATTTTTGAAACTTTTTCAGTTTGTAATTACAGATTAAAGTTACATTAATAAATGACTAAAACCGATTTTGTTTCTGCGCACTCTTTGTATGCAAAAAAAATTCATGAAAAACGCCTCCAAAATCGCAGTCAAAGGTGGTATCCTGCCTTAAGATATCAATATTTTAAAAATAGAATAGTACAATTTTTTATGTAATTTCCTCAGCAATTCAGTATATAAACATACTTATGATTGTCAAAAGATCAATAATTTGCAAGTTATTTTTTGATCGCATAAAATATGAAATATTCATAAAATATTGATTTTTTGATGACATTTTAATACACAGAATAATAACAAGATTACTTGATGTAAAGAAAATACATAGTTGCTTTTAAAAAAAGTATCTAATTGCAAATTATACATTGTATATTTTCTTTCAAAAGCACAGCTCATTATACATAATCATAAATGTAATATTATTGGGTATGGGAATAAACGGATTCCTCGAGTGAAGAATTCTATTTCTTTCGAGGCGATCCAATCATCGACCCATTTTTGTATGCTGTCATATGAGGTGACGTGATACCCAATTTCCTGCCTTCTGAATCATTCCCAGCGCATGTAGGCGTTTTCCAACGGTGGATCGATCAATATCCAATGCTGCAAATAATTCTTCAAGTGTCTGACATGGATCAATATCGAGCAATTTCTCAAGTTCCTCATTTTGGAACTTTTTGGGGCACCATCGCGTTCTTTGTCGTTGACATCGAAATCACCACTTTTGAAGCGTTCGAACCAATATCTGCAAGTTGGCTCCGATGGAGCATGGTCGCCGTAAACATCCACAAGCAAACGGTACGTTTCCGCAGCACTTTTCTTCAAAAGATAGTAGTGGAGAAGAACTTCCCGCAAATGCTGCTTTTTTGGAACAAATTCCGACATTTTCGATGCGATATGAATACTTGCTGTTTACTCCAAACAAAAGTCTTATACTGCGTTTAACAGCTTACGTATCATAGACTGCTTATGAGGTAGTGGGGGATGTCCTCCTGAGGGAAAAGGACAACACCAATTTATTTGGGTATCTATCTTTTTCTAGTGTACGTGATCACGTGGGCGTGATCACGTGTTCACCTTCAGATCATGTTCACCCACTAGAGGAAGACAGATACCCAAAGAAATTCATGTTGTCCTTTTCCCTCAGGAGGATGCCCCCACCTAGGGTTCCACTGCCCCATAAGCAGATGTTACGTATACACCTTTTAAACCCATGTATCGAAAGGTTAGAAAAGATGCAAGCGATACTATTAATGCCATCTATGGGGAAACGATTAAAACTTATTCCCATACCCAATATAAAAATATCTAAATTGATTATCTCGTATTTTTATTTTCTTTATTATTTTGATCATTTTAATTTCACATTGATCTCTTGAAATCAAGCCAAATCAAGTACTGACCTACAATCGTTTTCATGCTATAGGAAAAGACCATTAAGTTTTCAACTTAATTTTATAATGACAGCGTATTTCTTTTTGTTTAATACCTCATTACTGAATCTATAATTTAGGCAATTCCAATTCATGTTTATAAATAAATACAGAACAAACACAGAAAATAGACATATGAAAGATCTTACAAGTATTATATCGATAAAGTAATACAAGATAAAAGTGCTTAAAAACAAATAAAATTTCAGATTTTGTTAAAATATCGGTATAAAAATCGATTAAATCGATTAAAAACAATATTATTTCTTTTTATAATTGATGTAAATTATTGCATGCCATAAAAATAATAAAATTTCCTTTTTTATTCTCTTTATATGTTTTACTTGTTACAAGGTAAGCAATCAATAATAAATAATACAAGGTAAGCAATCAATAATAAATAATACAAGAACAAATCATGTGAGCGTAATAT